ACTGGCAAGTAGTGTCCATATAGGTGAGGAGCATAATGGTCCCAGCAATCGGGGATTGAGCTCCGGAAATGGGCTAGACGCCACGTGTGTGTCTGAAGCAGAGACTTATCTGAGGGGCTTAGCAAGGGGCCAGCCCAAGACTGATCATTGCAGGGGTTCAGGGCCCAGGGAGCAACCAGTTGTTGAGCCTAGGGGGCTCTCTCAGTGGGCTGAAGTCAGGTGTTCTGTGAGCAGGGGGGAGCCCACCACATACCAGTGTTTGCTTTCTCTCCAGTGGCTCTTCCCCTCCCCCGTCCTCTGAATTGATCTCAGCTGAAGGACTCTTGCCTCTCCATCAGTCACTCCAGCCTGCCTTGTTCTCCATGGCAACAGTTGACTCCTAAGCGGTGAGGGACAGCTGGAGACCAGTCTCACCCTGCCCATCCCCCTGCTCCAGCTCTGCTCAGATTCAGGCCTCCTGACACCCTAGGGCCTCTCAGCTGCAAGGCATTAAGTCAGCATCCCTTCTGGTTACCAAAGCGGGGGGCAGATCCACCTTCTTAATATCCACATTGTGTCCCATTTTTCCTGGACAGCTGTTAGACAGGGAACCTTTTCTACTGTGAGACAGGAGAAAACAAATATTTGGAAGGGAAAATAAACAGGGGACCCGCCCATCCTGAGACCTGGTAAGTAGAGGGAGCCCTTTAGGAGGTGGGGTAGCATCTTCCATCCTCTCCCTGGAGGTGAATGAAGGCAGTGCCAGGCATGGAATCACTGGCTGACAAGGGGATTGGTGAACCTCCTGCCCCTTGGATTCTGTGGAGGCAAAAGTTGCACAAGGAACCGTCCGGTGGTCGGTGATTTGTACACATTGGGAGAGCAGGTCTGGCTCCCATAGTACTGGGCTTAAAATTCACATGGGCCCAGGCGGCTTTTCAGTCTGAGAAACAGAAGGGAGGCTGTCTAGCTTGGCCCCTCACTTGCCTAAAGCAGAGGGGCTTGCCATGAGACTGGTTCAGGATTGCACTGGCCGTCTCTTTAACTGATAAACGATTAGTGTGACCTAAGCGAGGCAGAGCCATTAGCAGGCCAGAATGGGAAAGCGTAGAGACAGCACAGTACAGTGGAAGGACCATTGAGCTTGGGGTCAGAGGACCCGGGTTCACATTTCACCTCAGTCCCTTATTATCTTTGTGACCTTGGGCACTTAATCTCCCTGGGCCTCAGTTTCCTCATTTGTAAAATGAAGGAATTGATCGGGATGATCTCTGATGTTTCTTCCAGATCTATATCTATGATGCTATGAGCTCAAGGTCAATGAAATAAGATGTTGTCTCTCTCTTTTTCTTCTTCTGAAAGCCAGCTCACCAAAGGGGTGGGGACAGGCTCACCTGGGTGCTGGGGGCTTTGGGATCCCTCCCCAGATGGTGCACGCTTTCATCATTGCTGATCCAGGGCGGCCCCAGAGCATTGAAGACCCCACTGCCTCCCACTTCAAGGAGTGACTGAGTCGGGACCAATTCTGGGCATTCGTTCCTTGGTCCCACTGCAGCCTCCTTGGGTTTCTTCAACAGAGCCCATGCCTGCCTGCCACCTGTATTTACTCATTTTGCTTCAGTGAATGTTCGCCTTGTTGGGAAAATCGCATTGAAAGGAAGCCAGTGATGGCCGCTTGTTTTTGCCTGCCATGAATAGAAAGCTCTGAGTGTGGGGCCTCATGGGGCTCTGCTACTTTGGGAGGTGTTAGGGAGAAGGAGGGATGAAGAGCTGGGGAGGTCTGGACTGAGAGGAGGGGCTGGCAAGATGTTTGTGGGAGGCCAGGTGTGTGGGAGGAAGAGCCCTGGCTTCGGAGTCAGGGGACCTGGGTTCAAATCCTGCCTCTATCATCTATGTGACCTGGAGCAAGTTACTTCATATTTCTGGGTCTGACTTTCCTTATCTGTAAAATGAGGGGATTGGATCAGACGGCCTGTGAAGGCCCTTTCAGCTCTAGATTCATGACTCTGTTTATTTTCTTAAAGAGGAAGGGGCTGAAAGGAGAGAGAGAGAGAGGTGACCCTGGTATGATGAATCTGAAAGTTGGCCCTGATTGAATGGGACTTCCATTTAGAGAAGGGGCTATATCTCAGTTGTAGGAAGAACTCCAGAGTCAGTCAGAGTCCTGAGTTCAAAACCTGGCTCCATGGCTTATCTATTTCCTCTTTTCAAAGCTTTATTTTTCTTTTGTTTCATTTTCATCCCAGCACAGTACCTGGCCCATAGTAAGCTCTTAAGAGATGCTTGTTGATAAGAAAGTTGACTCAGACAACTTCAAAGTCACTTCAAGCTCATCCATTCTGCTGCTCTGAGATACTAAGATAATATTCCCTGTCAGTGGGAGCTGATTCCCAGGTTGTGTGGGTGCATTGCCAAGAGCCATCCAGACTTTTTAGCCTGGTAGCTCTTATTACCACCAGCATGGGGCACCACCATGTGTCTTCTTATGTGATTTATGTGTCTTGGAAGACCATGAGTCTGGCTTATCCCAATGAGTGAAGGTTTAGTCTGTGGCTGAGGAATAGATCTTCCCTCTCGATGAGGAATTTGTTGACTGGCATAGGGAACTGAACCCATGACCTTGACCTATTTAGCATTGTGTTCTCTCTCAAACTGACAGGTTTGATGATGGACTGATGAGCCCCAACATGGCTTTGAGACACCTAGTTATCAAGTATATTCTGATGCCACCTGTTCCCCCCCCTTTTTTTTAGGCAATCGGGGTTAAGTGACTTGCCCAGGGTCACACAGCTAATAAGTGTCAAGTATTTGGTCTGAGGCTGGATTTGAACTCAGGTCCTCCTGACTTCAGGGCTGGTGCTCTATCCACTGTGCCACCTAGCTGCCCCTGGGTGGCACATCTTAAGCTGAGAGGTGGGCAGCATAGCCTAGAGTAACTAGAGAGCTGGTGTCAGAGTCAGGAAGAGCTGGGGTGAAGTCCAGACTCTGATACGCAGAGGCTGTGTGACTCTCGGTAAGTCATTTCATCTCCTCATTTCCCACGCAGCTCTCTATGTTACAGAGCAGGTACACATCTGCATTGGTAGAGGGGGTTTCTTTGCAGGGCACTCCCTACAAAATCAGGGGCCAGTAAAAGCAGATGGATAAACTAGAGAGAGTCCAGAGGAGAACATTGACAATGGTGAATAGCCTCATGTGAGGACCAGTTGAAAGAAGTGGGATGTTTAACTTAGAAAGGAGAAAATTTGGCTAGGGCTGGATGGGAATAGCAGCAATTTCTCATGGCTGAAGAGCTGTCCTCTGGGAGGAAAATGGATTGGATCGTTCTGTTTAGGCCCAAGGGGCGGAACGAGGCCTAAAACAGGGGGCAGCAGGGACATTGGAGTGGCAGCTTTCAGCTCAATGGCAGGCACTTTTGAACCCCAAGAGCTGTCCCAAAGGGAGCCGGCCTACCTCAAGAGGTAACAGGGTCTCCTCACTCCAGTTTGAGGCTAGAAGGCAAATTTATTTGGATTCCTTGAGGGCAGGGACCTTTGTTTCCTTCTGCTTTGCTTTTGTCTTTGTAACCTCCATGCTCAGCACACAGTAGGCTTTTAATAAATACTAATCAAATTGACTTTATTGGTAGAGATTTACTGTACAGATAGGTTTGAGAATGCCTTTGAGGTCCCTTCCAATGCTGAACTTCAATGATTCAGGAAGCCTAGGTTTGAGTTCTGGCTCTTCCATTCATTGCCTACGTGACCTTGGGCTCAGAGACCTTTAATCCAGGGATCCAGGAAGCCACCTAGTCTAGTCCCATCATTTGACAAATGAGGAAAAGAAGGCCCAGGCTGTGACTTACCCAAGGTCATACCGGTAGTAATTTGGGACCCAATCTTCAGTTTTCTTATCTGTCAAATGGAGATAATAATTCTGGCACCGTCTTCTTCCTGAGGAAAGTATTTTACAGACTCTAAGGGCTATAGAAGTATGACATCGTTGCTCATTCCTCTCAGCTTTATATCTGACGGAGTTCAGCTAGGAACTGTTTTGGCAAAAGTTTCTGATCTGCTATTGTTCTTTTATATAGTTTGGTTGAATAGTATGAATGAAAAAGCATTTTTCAAGGGCTAATGTGCCCAGCACTGTGCTAAATGCTGGGAGTACAGATAGAAAAGGGAGACAGCCTCTCCTTCAAGGACTCACACTCTAACAGAGGGAGACAACACATAAAAGAAAACAATTTAATAAAAGTATCATTTTCTGCAAGAAGCCTTCCCCAAGCCCTCTTCATTCGAATGCTTCCTCTCTGTGAATTATTTCCTATTGATCCTGTATCTAGCTTGCTCTGTGTATATTTGTTTATGTGTTGTCTCCTTATGAGACTGTAAGCTCCGTGAGGGCAGGGATTGTCTTTTGCCCCTTTCTGTATCTGGAGCACAGTGCCTGGCACATAGTAGGTGCTTAGTAGGGATGCTAGGTTCTTCAACCCAGTCTTCCCATGGTTTCGATTTCTTTGATAGGGTCTCTACATTTTGCGGGCTTTTTATTTCATGTAGTTTGGAATTTGCTGGTTTTGCTTTTGCCGTTGTTATTTCCTTATTGTTCCACGCCGGGAAGGGTATGGATGCCCTGAAGCTGAGAAAGCAAGCTCTGGAATTGTAGGCGCTTTAGCACAGTGGACGGAGAGATGGCTTTGCAGTCTGAGAACCTCGGTTCAACTCCTCTCTGACACGCTAGCTGCGTGACTTTGGCCAGGTCACTCCGAGCCTCAGTTTCTTTCTTTGTAAAACGAGGAGGTGTGACCAGGCGGCCTCTGAGGTCTCTTCCCAGTTCGGTGATTTCCCTCTAGACCCCGCCCCGCCCAGCCGCGGTTGGGGGAGAGTCACCTGCCAGGTCCTACAGGTAGGACAATTTTTCATGACTCCTGGGAGGAGCTCGGGCAGGCAGGGCGGCTAGTGGTTGGTGAGAAGCCGGGTGACGTCACGGGGGCGGGGCAGACGTGGAGATGGGCTAATTCCCTGCCCTCCTTGGCCCCCATCCCATCCGCAGGAGAAGCGTTGCTCTGGCCTGTGCCCCTGCGCCCCCCCTGGGCCTGTCTCCTCATGTGCCCCCGCGCCCCAGGGCCTCCGGTCCCCACCGGGCGGCGAGCCTGAGCTTGGGAGCGAGCTGCCCTTCGGCTCCCCGGAGAGAAATCCAGGCCTTTGTTTGGCTCCAGCTGCCCAGTTCCCTGCTGCCTGCCACATGTTTACTCAAGGGCTGAGTAATTGAAATTGTCTAGAGCACCTCGTGTTGCCCCTGACGACACAATCAGGAGAGAGGGTTCCGGCTGCGGGAGGCAGGGGAGGGCTCTGCTCCCCCGCTCCCACATCCTCCCAGGAGCCCAGAGCCCCCAGGGCCTCTCCACAGGTAGATCCCTGCCCCTCCCCTGGATACCCGGTAGGTATAACCAAGTCTCTCTTTCCCCCGGGCAGCCCTCCTTGTGGCTGGTTTGGGGAAGGGGGGCGGGGGTGGGTGTCAGCAATAACTCAGAACAGGTGCTTTTCCAGAGAAGTATTTTTTCCTTCCCAGAACAGGGTGGCCTTGGGTGTTCATTTGTGCCTGCCAGGGGAGGAGAGCGGGGTGCTGGCTAAGAGTTTATTTAGAGGTTGTTTTTTCCTGGTTCTCTGCGCTCCAGGCACCGACTGGGGAAACGCGCAGCAGGAGCTGGGAGTGAGTTCTGACTTTTCCATTGGATTTTGCTAGGGGGATGATGGTCACTTTGGCAGCCCACAGGTGGCAGCCACCTGTAACTAGTTATTGATTTGGGGCAGGGGAGGGGGATCGAGAGAAGGGCTGGAACAGCCTGTTGTGCGGTGGAGGGAAGCAACAGGCAGCCACCATCGACCAAAATGTGAGACTCCATCTCTGGGGAGATGAGAGTCCGGAGGAAAGCCTATCCAAGCTGCCCTGTTGCTACAGCCCCTGAAGATGGTCACTTCCTCCCCGACCCCCAAACCTAGCATCATGGCCAGCGCACCGGTCTGTCTGGCCAGCTCCCAGCCAGTTCGCCTGAGGATCAGGGGCTGCCAGGTGCAAGGCACAGACACATTGAGTTAGCTGGAGAGCTAGGGGTGGGTCGATGGCCAGCTTCTGGGATGGGAGCAGGTAGTTGGAGTTGGGCTGAGGGAACAAGTGGAAAGAGGGATGTTTTGGGAGTCAGAGGACCTCGGTTTGAGTCCCAGTCCTGCCATTTACTAACTGTGTGACCTTGGTCAAGTCCCCTTTCCCACCTGGGCCTCAGTTTCCTCATCTGTAGAGTGTGTGTGTGTTTGTGAGCGTGTAAGGGTGTTGATTAAATCTTGAACTTCTTTTCCACTCTAAGGCTCTGAAAGTGGAAGGAGTATCTGGGTCTTGAATTCCGGGAAGGTCAGCTGGGGAGCATCCAGAGGAAGGTGACTAAGTTATGAAAAGGCCTAGAACTGACTGAAGGACATGGGGTGTTGGTCTGCAGGAGAGAAGGAGGGACCTGGCTTCAAGCATCTGAAGGGCTGTCCTGTAAGAGAGGGATTAGTTTTGTTCTGCTTGGCCCCCAGAGGGCAGAGCAGGGACAATTGGGTGGAGGGTGTGCTAGGATATTTCAGGCCCCTGATGTTCCTAAGTAGAGTTGACTCCCTCTGGAGGTAGTGGGGCTTCTCCTTCATTGGAGGGTCTTCGGGCTGAGGCTGGATGACCGCTTCGGAGGTAGAGCTGTGGCACAGAAAGGTTAAGTGACTTGCCCTGTGTCACAAAGCTAATGTCTGGGGCAGAATTTGAACTCGGGACTTTTGGTCTCCAAGTACAGCAATCTATCCACCGTAGAGGTGTTCATTTGTCTGGGTGGCCACCGAGATCCTCCTCGCTCTGACATTCTGTGATCCTCGCTGGTCCCTCCAAGGGAAAGAATGCCAGAAGGTACCATTAGTCCTATGGCCCATGCTGCGGACCAGTGGGAGGCACTTGCCTGTTGGTTGGGGAGTAGAGCTGGCCGCGGGGGCAGGAGCTACAGCTCATGTAGCTCAGTCCATGCAAACTACCCAATAACTTGGCTCCTGGCGGTGCCCCCAGTCTATGTTTAGTTATAATTGCTTGGGCAGACACGGTGAGGCAGAGGAAGGACTTTGGGCGGAGCTGGTTCGAGAAAGGAAGCCCTCTTTGTGTTCTCCCTACGGGATGAGATTCCTTCTCCTTGGGGTTTGGCCCCCCAGCATAAATCTGCTCTGGCTGCATCTGATAAATGGACCTTGACAATTAATTCAGCAAGAACTACCAAGCTCTTAAAATGAATCGCTCCCGTCCCATCTCCCTTCTCCTCTTCCTAGCCTTCCTTCCCCCATGTATTCAGAGTGCTGGAGGAGGCTCTGGCCCCAGTTTTCTTGGCCAAACAAGTTTAAAAGTGCACTAAGACTTTGAGGTCACCCCTGTTTTTTTCAAGCACCAACTAGTGTAAGGCACAGCATTAGGTGCTTTGGAACCCCAAGGTCCTGGATCCAGAGCTAGAAGGGACCTTAGATATCATCTTATCCAGTTTCTTCACTTTACAGAGGAGTATAGCCAGTGGGATTTGAACCCAGGACCTCTGACTCCAAAGCAGGGATGTGTCATGGACCCCTTTGGCAATCTGGTGAAGCCTGTGTTTATCTTCTCAGAAGTGTGTTTTTAAGTACACAAAATTTGTAGGATTATAAAAGAAACCAATGGGATTGGAACAAAAGTGTTAATTTTTTTTCCATCCAAGTTCATGGATCCCCTGACATCCCAGGTTAAGAAGCCCGGCTTCTTAATTGGACCACGCAAAAGCCAAAATAAAGATAATCCCTTCCCTCAAAGAAACTTATTTTCTGCTGGGAGACTATGACATGTCTACACGTAAGGAAATGCAAGTATCTCTGTGTGTGTGTGTGAGTGTGTGATTTCATCAATGTAGGGAACTCCAGGTATGAAAGGCCCCTCCACTGATTCAGGGTTGCCACTTATCTGTAGGTTTACATACAGTCTAAGAATATTGCCTGGGGGCATTGAGAGGTTAAGTGCCTTGGCCAGGGTCCCAGAGAGGCTGGACTTGAACCCAGGTCGTTCTGACTTCCTAACTCTGTATCCACTTGTGGGGGGGGTCACATCTGCCTCTCTCCAAATGTTTGCTAAATTGAATCTTATTGGCTTTGCCCCAGGTCACACGGTGAGTTACTGAATTCTGTTGACAGTAGTTGGCACTCATATGGCATTCATAGGTCAGCAAAGGTTTGCATCCATTGCTGAATTCCATCAGCATCAGATGATTTTCTGTGCTAGTTTTCGTGCCAGCTGGTACTGGTAAATGTTTAACAATGTGACTTTGGGGGGGGGAGTGTCTGCATGAGCCACTTTTAAATTTAATCTGCATTAATAATGCTTTTTCTGTCACTTAAGTCCCAGAGGTGGAGAACCTTCAGCTTCAAGGCTACATGTGACCTTCTAGGTCCTCAAGTGCGGCCTTTTGACTCAGTCCAAGTTTTGCAGAACAAATCCTTTTATGAAGGGGATTTGCTCTATGAAGTTTGGATTCAGTCAAACATGTGGCCTCGAGGCTACAGGTTCCCCACCCTTGGTAGACAATAAAAAACCAGTAAATCAAGCCATGATTTGCTTCCAAGGTATAAATGCTCCCGCTGAAAATTTAACAAGTGGCTCCAGTGGGCCCATATGAGCAGCACAGGTGTGGCTGCGTAGAAGTGCTTTTCCCACCACAATGTGGGAGAATGGCCATTTATTGTTTTGGGGGAGTGGGGTAGGGATGGCTAGGACCAGAGAGAACCATTCTGAACAATGGTGTTTCTCCAGGGTCCATTTTGAGTGTTGATCTTCTTTACGGGCATAGGTTTATCAGAGGTTGTTAAAGGTAGAGGATAGACATCTAGTTCAACCTTTGCATTTTACAGAAGGGGGAACTGAGGTTTAGAGTGGCTTGCCCAGATTTGTACAGCTGATAGGCAGGAGAGCTGGGATTTGAATTCAGGTCCTCAGACTCCATGTATGGTACTCCACTGAACCACCCTCAAGGAATGAGGAAAAGAAAGAAGGGTAACAGGGAAGAATGAGGGAAATGGTGCTGTGGGTATGTCAATAGGGGGTGAATCATGACAGACACACAGAAGGCTCAGGTTCAAATCCAACCTCAGACACAGCTTTTACCACCACCAGCAGCACTTATTAGTCACCTGCAGCATACTGTGTACTCCATTAGACATTTTTTCCAGGAAGTACTTTTTATTTCCCTAAAATAAGAATTCTTAATCAATCAATCAACCAATAACCATTTATTAAGCACCTGCTTTGTGCCAGGCACTGTTCTAAATTCCAGAGTCTGTGGAGGGATCTATAGATAGGTTTCAGGGGGATCCATGAACTTGGATGGGAAAAAAAATGGCATTTTTATTTTCGCTGACTTGTAACAGAAACTTAGCATTTCCTTCAATTATTTAAAGCGTGATTCTGAGAAGGAGTCTTATATGGGCTTCACCAGACACTGCCAGAGGGATTCAGGACAGAAAGAAAAGGGAAGACCTGTTGCCTTGTTCCCAGGGCTCAGAGCATATGGGAGAGGATTCCTTCTATGCCATCTCTCTGGGCAAAGTTGGCAGGGAAAGCGAGTGGGAAGTAGTTGACCCAAGTAAGTGTTAGGAGACTCAATGCCCTTGTGGTATCCTTTCTTTGGACAAGGGGGAAAAGCACTTTTAGATTTGAGGGCTGTGTTACCCGCATTCCCTGTTCTGGTTGTCAAAGATGGCAAGGCCCAACCCCAAGGAACGAATCCCAAAGGATGGAATTTCAGGCTTTAGTGTGGAAAGAGATTTTTCTTTTTAATGTGCTGGACCCTTTTTGGTGTCCCTCAAATGAAACCAAGAAGCCAGTAACTCCCTATTGGACCTGTGCCCTACCACGAGGTCTTGGTGAACACTTCACTAAACAGTAATTCCATTCCCAGCTGTATCCCTCCTAGCACATCTGTTGCTTGTCACCTGACAACCCTCCAGTGTGACTTTGTCATCTGCAGCCGAGCAGCATTTATGAGCACTTCCATGGAGAAGATTAAGGGGGAGGGGAAGGTTTATTTGTTAGACAGAAGGAGCTGCTCAGTTCATTTGGGATTAAGAAAAACCTCCATCACCTGCCCATAAGTGGGCAAGTAGAAATTACTGAATATATTTATATAACATTTATTACTGTTGCTCCAGGCCCTTTGACCAACAGGAAAAGGAGGCCCACAGTTCTCCTGTCAGGGTCCGCAAACTGCTGCCCCACCTCAAGACGGTGGAAAGCTGAGGGATGATTGTACCTCATTTTACAGTTAGGGAAACTGAGGCCCAGAGAAGTTCATTCACTCAATCAATAATTTGTTAAACGTCTGTAGGTGTCAGGCACTGTGCCAGGCACCAGGGTTA